TTTCAAAATCATAGACAAAACTTTGCAGAATTATACATAGGGGAACCAATACAGCATACAATATATCGTAGAGGTATGCTAGGCTTTTGGAAAACCGTAAAGTGTGAGAGGAGAAAGATGATAAGAGGATAATCGTTGATATTTATATTTCCAAATCTCTCCTGCTCTCACAAGTCGTGAAAGAAATTTATTTAGTTTTTTTTTAAAATAGGATCTGATTTTAAGGGAATATATATATATAAGGTCAGATAATGATTCGATTATCTTTTCATTTTCTTCTTTGTCCATAGGAAGGAAGAGTTTCCTTTGTCTACTAGTGAAATCACAATATTGTTATCTTGTTCATAGTTCTTAAGAGCTTTATGTTCATTGAAGGTGGTATATTTTGCGGGTTTAACGGTCTAACTTCTTGTGTTGCATCATGTATCTGATTAGGTTACACTCTTTGGAGTTGGAGCAAAATTTAAATCTAACGATAAAACACTCCGTAACTGTTTCAAGCTTTATCACCGAAAAAAAAAAAAACAAAAATAAACTTGTTTTAAGAATTAAACAACACCGAAAATAACACACTGATAGTCTAAAATAAATTATTTAATATAAATATGAATATTCACCCTATAACCCTAAACAGTTATTCGACCATTTTCACTTTTACCGGAATTAAGTTTTCTTTTGCAATTTGCATTTTATTTGAATAATTAATCGCAGTTTCAAATTATAAATCTGTAATTACAAATATCATATAAATTGTTACTTTTGGAAATATATCATCGTTTTTTGTGTTTTTTAGATAAATTTCTTTCGCCTGTGTATCTTTCATAAAACATTACGATTTCTCTATTAGAAAAGAAAAGCTGTCTTACATGCGTTTAGGTAACTAATATATTACGCTGTAGTGTAGAAACGTGTGTTATGAAGAAGTATTTTCACACCAGGTGAAACTAATCAGGTCTTTGTAGTTTATTCAAAAAATTAATAGCATCATTACTGCTTTATTATTAAAACCATTAAAGATAATCTTTAAAAAACGCTTCTCATCTTTATCGTAATATTGGAATTATTATGATTGCTTCGTGAGTGAAGATCGAAGTATTTGATGAAGTGATCCTACAGCTTAATTTACAATAGTAATATTTAGTAGTCGATGAATACCCTTGTCGAAATTAACTATTATTTTATACACACACTGTGCTATTTGCAGGGTATTTCGTATTTGTCGCACAGCTACGATTATAGAAGTCTAATTTATTTTTTATTTCGTCTGATCAGGTGGATAGGGTGCTCGACTCACAACCTGGGGGTCGCGGGTTCGAATCCCCCTCCCATCAGCCGTGGGGGCGTTATGATATAACGTTCAATCCCACTACAGGTATAATCCAAAAAGTTACTTATTCATCATTTTCAGTTACAACCTGCGAGCTCAATAATATTTCAGTTCTAAATTTAAATACCGAATATATGTTATCACTAACACCAATGAAAATGTCGAGTAACAACATGTATTCCTTTGAAAAGGAACAAGTTAGTAATCCCAGGTCTATTTCATATCTCGAAACCTTAAATTTCGGAATAAATTATTATTTATTACCTATTAATTGTATTTTATTCATGTTCATAATGCAACATGCATGAAAGAACTCATATTTGATTTCATAATAAGTTTTAAAGACCATATATATAACTGTACAGATATAAAACCACAAATATCAAATTTTCGATCATATAACATAAAACAAACTGCCGAACTGCCCAATGATATTTTCAATAACTACAACAACCTTAACTACAACTTTGTATCAATAGCCGAGATACCTGTTACCATGTCCGCATCTACTGGCCTTTTAAGTCAACTCTCTCCAGGTAGAATTCAACCAAACTATGATTTTTTCCAGCAAGAATTCGTTCAATTTGGATTAGAATTCGTACTGTTCATCAAAGTATTCTTGGAGACACAACCAGACTGACGCAGGCTAAATACTATAATGAACAGTAAAATATAATTACTACTCTAGAAATCTAAGAACATCGGCAGCTGAACTATACTATTACAAAATGGTGCTGCCATCTGTGTGTTAACAAATCCACTACAGTCAGCACCAGTCAAAATCTATGGAAATAAGTGCTTTTCCACTATGATTTATCTCAGCCTGATACTTAAGTACATGCTACTTAAATTTGAAATTTCGTACAAGATCATATTACGAGGTGGCTACTCGTATAAACATTCTGCCAATGTTTGTCATCAAATCCCACTGGAGTTCTTGTAAAGCCAGGATCACAAATTACATTCAGCTTAGAAATGAATTAGACTTCCTGGCGACTTTCCAGTCATGTCAACAGTAAAAAGTCCTATTATTACAAGAAGCAGCATCTGCTGTCTTAGCTACATTGTTGTAAAGTGGCTATCATGTGAAGTAGTGCATAACATTGAAACACCACTTGACAACATGGAAATTAAGGGCTACAACAACACTTTTTTTAGTCGCTGATTAATCAATTAAACGACCTTCCTAGCTGTCCAATAATTAAGCCATTAACATGTGATTTCTTGCAGACATCTTAGGTTAGGGAGGCCAGCCAGATAAAGATCAGAAGGTCAACGTCATAGTCTCGGTTGATTATGGAAGCGGTCACTTCGCTCCTCCATCTAGGTTTCCTCGCCTGACCTCTACAGGACATTCAGTTATTATTTTGTATTTACTTTACAGAACTTGCCGAATCTTATATCGAAACGTTTAATAAATATTTTAACTTCAGTGATGAAATTTGAATTTAAAGAAGTACAGCTACTCATATTTGCCAGATTTTCAGGTGAAATTGATTTCCCCAAAGAAAGTTAGGAGATTCGCTATATAATGGGGAGGGGGGGGACATGACGAAGTAATTGTGAATTTAGCTAAAATGCGTTTAAGCAACAAAAAATGATCGGACTCGATGTATAACACACAATGAAAACAATTTACTAAATAAAAAAAGACAAAATGCAGTGTGTGTACTTGCTTATTTGGGTTAGTCAAGACTATTCTATTGTGTGCAAACTTGTGTCCAGTGTCTTTCTTTGTGTCAGACTCGGTCAAAGTCAAATCTGTGCTCTGCAGTACAATTTAAGTCGAGCCTTCAGTTATTTTGTGGTTGCTACCCACACTGTGAAGCCAACATCCACAACAATCAAGGCTAAAGACGAGTGTTAGTGTGGCGTCTTTAGTGAAGAAAGAGAAAAAAAATGTGATGTTGTATTATGTTAAACGTTTTAAGCTCTTTAAAGTAAGTGGTAAGATTCAATCGTATTGTTATTTTAAAGTTGAAACTTCACTTTAAATGTTGTTGCAGAAGTTAAAGTTGTTCCATATTGAAAAAATAACAAAAACAGCATTATAACACTCATTTTATCAGATCTGTCCAATAATTTTATATAACCATTCTTGTTAGCATTCATAATAAATGACTTTTCACAAAATATATGATAAAATATTGTCCAATCCTTCTTTTAGTCGAAAACTGTTTGAAATTATCATCCAGGGTAACCAATTATCTTATAGAATTGAAATCAATGAGAAAAACTCGAAATTTAGAAACAGATGTGCTGGTTTTAAAAATTAACGTAATAAATAATTCATTTAAACCAGAAATTATTTGAAAAACAAATTCTTTGAATATTCATTTGAAAGTAAACGTATATTTAGTTCAATTATACATTTAGAAATCTCTCTTAGGAAATCAAAAGATAGCCTTAATTTTTTTATAGCAGGGAAGTCTGCTGACAGGAAAGTAGCACCAGACAGATTTCTATCAGTTCATTTCTTCGCACATTGATCTAATCTCACTTCTTTGACAAAACGAGAAAGAAAATAACAAACATAACACAAAATGGTTCTTTATTTATCATTCTTGTAATAAACAAACATAAAATATACTGTAACGTTCCAAATAGCGTGAAGTTTTAGCAAATTGTCAATAAAAATAGAAAATAAAACATATATAAAAGTAACTTCAAGTATATTTCATCCCGATATAAAACATTCACTCTAATATACCTTAACTGTGTAGTATTAACCTTAATTAACGTATACGATGAATAACTGGAAACCAAGAAAAAGCCCCGGCATGGCCAGGTGGTTAGGGCGCTCGACTCGCAGTCTGCGGGTCGTGGGTCACACCAAACATCCTCGCCCTTTCAGTCGTCGGGGCGTTATAATGTGATGGTCAATCCCACTATTCGTTGGTAAAAGAGTAGCCCAAGAGTTGGCGGTGGGTGGTGATGGCTAGCTGCTTTTCCTCTAGTCTTACACTGCTAAATTAGGGACGGCTAGCGTAGATAGCCCTCGTGTAGCTTTGCGAGAAATAAAAAAAAACAACCAAAAACAAACCAAGAAAAGATTTATGTGGGCGAAATTGTTTTAGCTTTAACTGGCTTGTAATATAACACATATCGTTCATGGGTAAACTACTGTTTACATAAATAAAAAATATATGTTTAATTTACATATTTAATTTACCTTATGACAATAAGTACCATTCTTGTAAAGAAACTAAAAATATGGTAGAAAGTAAAGTTATTGTTACGTCTCCGTTTGTTAATTGATTTCCCGTAAATTCGTTCGACGAAACTTTAGCGACACATGTTCTTTCTTAATAAAACTGGTTTATTCTTTCCAATCCAACTTTACGATACACTTAATTTCAACAGTCGCTCTATAACAAACGTCTCACGAGGGCAACAATATTCTGTCCGCATACATTCAATTACTCATCACCTACTCACATTTATTTGTCACGTTGTGACCATTTTATATATACCAGACTACCCTATATCTAGTAATCTCCCGACAATTCACGAAGGTTCGAGAGAAGTGGCGTGACACTAGTCACGTGACCTCGCTGACGCAAAATTATTATACTTATGCAGTAAGTATAAAACATATAAATGGAGAAAAACACCATTGTATTTCAAAATATTTAAGAACAAATGCAATGTATATTATGACTGTTTTACTTACAAGACATCTGATCACAGATCAGACCAAGCCATATCGAGGGCTTTCGCTTTCAGATTGCAGCAACACTGTCGTCTTCATTGCGGTTATTACGAATTTCAGTTAATAATGCCTCATCTCTTTTGTCCACTTTCAAATTGAATACTGCATCAAAAAAATCAAAATAAATGCTGAAATCAGTCATATTATCTGCTCTTTTATCAATCAACACAATTCTGTCAGTTAGAGAAAGCTTCCAGCAACAGTAACAAGCAAGGAATATCACCCCTAAAACAGTGCAGCCTCCAACAATAATTGTGCTGTACAGTTGTTGTGATGACCAGGAAAAACTACCATGTATAAAAAACCAGATCGCATATAAACCCGCATTTTCTAAAACTATCACAATGATATAAATCACGAAACGTCGACCCTCACGTAATTAAAACATATATGACCAATATATGAGTGATGGCAGTGGCGGAGTGGGTCTAAAATTTCTACCGGGAAAACTTGTAAAAGGACCCACTGAAAAGGGTCCACTTAATCCCAAAACGTAGTCAAAGGAATCAAATAAAAGTAAAGGTTTTAATCAAATAAAATGTTACATCTATTCAATGTTCTTGTATTTATTTATATTAATGCGTGCATAATACAAATACTAGAAAATGTTAATAATCTTATAATAAAAATGAAAATCTCAATCATAGAACAACCAATCCTAGTAATTTACAAAGCATAATTTGAAATTGTTTTCAAAGTATAATTAAAATTGGAACGTGTGCATTTTTAATTTGTGCACATATCACTAAAACAGTTAAAATTCATCAATTTACAAAGCATAAATCACCCTAGACAGCAAGTAATTGGTTTCTTCAATCTTCTGCAAACGTTTCAGTTTCGCTGATCCAACCATCTTCTCTGAAGCAACTTCTATCCAGATGTTCATTTTCTTACATGATTCCGAAAAAAATGTCACTGTTGACTGTAGTAGTCCGATCAAGTTTTTGACCGGCAGAATATTTTGGACCAGATTTAGTGATGCCAAATTAAGGATATGAGCATAGCACCAAATGTATACGGATTGTGGGGCTTCATCTCTTTTATACTTCACCACACCGCTGTATTCACCTCTCATGTTAGCAGCTCCATCAAACGACGCACTTGCGATGTCCTCCACTTTTAATCCACTAAATTCCAGCATAGCCTTCATTTGTTGGTATAATCCATATCCAGTAGCGTCTGTAACCTTGTTTAGAGCAAAGAAACGCTCTTTTACTTCATCCAACAAAACGTAACGCAAAATTACGGATTCCTGATTAATCACTGATGTGTCTTGAGTACTATCCATTTGCACAGAATATTTCTGATTCCCAATTTCACTAACAATGCGTGACTTCATAATGCTCCGGATGGCTGACAGTATATAGTTCACGGTTGTTTTGGATAACATCGATAACATATTTCTGCGTCCATTTGAATTTTCTTTTCTTTTTTCCTTAATGATTTTTTTCGATCCTTACAAACCTCGACAACTTTGCTTATGTGACTAGCCAAAGGTACATCAAATTGGGAGAGAAGTAGTATCGTTTCTAAAATGTTACCACGATCAATGTTCTGGTTTTCAAGGTAAAGGCCTGATTCATTACGATGTCCTCTGTATGGCAGTGCTTGTTTTCCTAAAAATTTGATCACAGCTAATATGCGTTTCAGAACTTCAATGTTTTCCATAACTTGCTTCCGCCTCAATTTAACGCCTTCCTTTGCCAGCAAAGATTCTATATCTCTTTCCTCTTCAGCATTGAAAATTGCCAGAACTGCTGCATTGTGTGACTTTGACACCTCATGTTCAGAAATTCTTTGATAAATGTGGGAAAACTTCGTAAAGCCAGTTGAAAATGCTGTGTTAGAAAAGGCCTGACAAACCTTGCAATAAACAGCCTTAACTTCTTTGTTTTCAACTTTCACTGTCAGCCAATTCGAGAAACGCTGTTTTCAGATATTTTACGTTCATATACCTTTTTTGGATCAAATGGCAGATATTTAACATCTTTGAATGTTGGCTGCATTGCTATAGAAAGTCCTAGCTGCATTTTTCTGGCAAGGGGTGCAGTTGCAGGTAAGGGCGGATTTTGGAATCGTTCTTGTTCTTGATTTTCTACATTTTCCACCTTCGTATCCTCATTCACTTGATGAAGTTCACTTTCTGTTTCTAGGTTATCAATTTCTTCTCTTCCTTCATTTTCTGTTTGTGGATCTACTCCTACTGTGCTATCTTGATTTTCTTGTGAGTGATGGGGTTCTTCCGAAGAATCTGGTTGGATACTGAAAAGTGTGTGATTGGGACTGTTGACTTAACAGTTTCGCGTAACATTTTCTTATTGGACTCGTCGCGTTTTTGAGCACCAGACTTGTATTTCCTCTTGCGTGAACCATCCACCCTGAAAAAAAGAACATACAAGATGTGTATAGATTTCCGTTGTTGTTGTTTTTTTTTTCAGTTTTCCGTTATTTCCAAAGTGATGGACCATTTTCCCGGTATCCCGGTATGCCAGTCCGCCACTGAGTGATGGTAAACCGAAAAGGAAAAATACTAATATAAAATAATAATTTTTTCTCTGACGCGATAATAGCGACGGTGTCGGGTTTTCAGAAGTGCCAATTTCATGCGACTTCCAGACGAGTGTAGAAATCCAAACAGAAAACAATAAAGCGTGGATGATTGAAAAACCCAGAATGCCGTAGTATATGACAGACGTAGCCAAAACGAAAACTACCGCACGTGAAATAAAAATTGATCCCCATCCTAAATAAGAGAGAATACTAGATAATACACCATCGTCTTTTCTTTTGACTGCACATAAAAGGGTCTTGACACTCAGAACTGAAGCCACCAGTTCCCACGTGGCTGTAAAAACATGAAATAAAACAGGTAAAACCCATAAATATTTATTGTGTTTCAAGACTGAAAATTAACTAATGTTCTGATTAAAGATTTATATACTCCTTGGGACAAAAACATCTCTATCTTAACGTTTTGGTGAATTTAACTATATGAATGTAATATAATTCCTAGTATACATGCAATTATCATAACACTTATTTCTTACTCGTTATGATGATTACACTACATTGTTCTTAAGAAAGAAAGTTTTGTTCTGGTATTTTCTATGTTAGCTTAGCTGGCAACAGTTACGAATAGAACATTTCACGTTAGACACAAATCCTTACGTAATCTAAATCGAAAACCAATTTGGAGAAATTGTCGTAGGTGAGAGCTTGAGACATTGAATAATTTTGTTCATTCGTACTTCTATAGAAACTAGTTAACGTTTTAACTTAATCACTGAAGGTCATTTATAATAAATGTATTACAAGTAGCATTTAAATTCATTTATTAAGATATCAGTGAAGAGTTAGAATCCACATCCTATTTTACAACACCAGTAGAGTCGTCAGCCATTTTAGCTTGTATAAGAATAACACTAGATAGTTTTTAGCGGCAGATTCGGAGATTGGATTTTGGAACAATTGTTTCGAGATTGAAAAGATCGGATTCGATATCAGTTCTGCAGCTCCCGCCTCTACCACTGTTGCTCAGTCGATTTCTGCCTCCACTCAATCCAGCTATTCTGGTAAGCGCTCCGACCTATGGAAACTACTGAAGCTCCTCAGATTACTGTGCTCCTACTTTCGGGCATGGATCCCACGTATTTCTCTACCAGGACTCTCTTTCTCGAACTTTCCAAATACTGCCTTCGTTCTGACGCACATCAACTAATTTCAACAAGAAATGGCATAATTGTGAAAACTGGTAACCCTCAATTGTGTGATATACTACGTAACAAAATTGGGACTGCTTAATCTGGGTCAATCTACCATTCTCACTCAAATTCGCTCCCCTGCTCTAAAATAACAACCTCCTCCTCGTCGTACACCTCTTTTCTCTTGTGTCATCTGTGGTGTGAATCCTGGCATCACTGAGAAAAGAGATCCTTTCCGAACTTATACTTGAAAATATATCAGTCAAGTGTGCCATTCGCATTCAAAATTCCTCAGGTCCTACCTTAATGATTCGTGTTTCGGCTGAGAATAGTGACACTATAGATCATCTCCTGTCTAATAGAGCATTTCTTTTCCGTCAACGACATCGGGTTGAAACTCTCCCCCCCCCCCAGGCTCTGCGCTATGAGAGGTGCCTATTATACAACTCACATACCACTGCTAAATGCTCTAGCCAACCAGTTTCTTATCATTGTCGCGGACCTCATCTCCTTTGCCAATGCTCTCGCTTAAGCTCTCCTCCCCTCTGCAATACTTGCCATCTTGATCATTCTACATACTCCTCTAAGTGTCAGGGTAAACCTACCCCCAAGACTGATGATCCTGCTTCTGTTGCTCCAGTGCATACCACCAATACCATACCCCTCCGAACAACTCTATTACTATGTCTCCTACCACAGAGGATATCATCCGTTTCATCACGTTAATACTACAGAATGTCCTCCCCTTCCAACATACATTAGTTCTGGATCATATTATCTGTGCTGCTAAGACTGTCTTTTGCCTTCACATGCAGACCACTTATTCTGGACTTAACTCTCACTTTCTATTTCGTCTATGAAATCTGGCAGAGACTACAAGTTGAAGATTTTATCTGTCAATATTCGCTCTCTTCTTCATAACCTCCCCTCCTGGAGATCTTGCTAGACGGCGGCTCCTATGATTGTGTTATCCTTAATGAAACTATTCTGAAACCCACACAAAGGATCCATCTGTCAGGGTACACTCTTCATCGCCATGATCATGCTATGGGTCGGGCCCGAGGTGTGGCAATCGCTACATGTACTCACCTTCCTGTGCACCTACATTCCTTTCCACAGTCCACTTACCCTGAGCATTTGGTTACCACTGTTTACTTCCCATCTTGTATCATCACTATTTCAACTATCTACATTCGTCCCGGAGTTCCCTTGCCCAATGCCTTTCTCTCCTTTCTGGACCACTCTTTTCACAGCTATGCTCTTCTTGCTGATGTCAACTACCACAGTAGGACCTCTGCCGAACTTGTACGTTTTCAGTCTTCCTTATGTTCCCTTTCTGGTTCTTTGCTACCCCTGCCTGCACCTAGTCGTCCAATTTCTCATTCGTCACCTGATATTGTGTTTGTTTCTTCCAACCTGGTTCCTTTTATCGCTCTCCAGATGTGTCCTCTGGTTGGTAGTGATCATCTCCCCATAGAACTTTGTGTCCGTTTGCAGTCATTGTCTGTTCCTCGTTCTTCCCGTTGGACTTATCAAAATTTTCGTTCTGCCGACTGGAAATCTGATGCTTCACACATTGCTAGTGCCATACCAGATATGGATCGACCTCTTACTACAACAGCTGATGTTGACTCCTTCATCACCTTACTCACCACTCTTCTCTCTGATGCCAGTGCTTTACACATACCAACTTCTTTT